CCCCTCCCCCCGCGCCCCGGGGCTCCTCGCGCGCCGCAACTACGGGACGAGGAGGCTGCGTGGACTCTGCGGACATGCATGCTCCGAAAGCTCCATAGCATGTTTTCACCGCTACTGCTGGGTTCTTCTTCTATACGCTTCTCGCAAATTGACTGGTAGTTCGGTGCCAAGTTTCCGAAGCCGCTCTATCCTGTATTATTAAGATTTAATACTGTAAGTAATATGTTTTATACGTTGTTATGGATACATTTGTCGAGAGGAAGATGCACTGCATTTAATAAAAGAACTACTGCTCAGCGAAATGGCAATCTCTACTTATTCAACAAATGCTTATTACAACGTTACTGAAGAGAGTTTTAAGAATGATGAAGCCAGTATTTATTGTTTTTAATTTTAATCATAATATGTATATCTGTCTGTAAAATTTTATCCAGCAGAGAATGTACTGAAGCAATTAAAAAACATTTTGTAAGAATCTTCACAAGAAAAGATGGAATTAACATGATAGCATCAGACTCGGATCTAACTCGCTAATATTTTCTAATCATGTCATTCTGAAAATTAATGGCAATGAAGCAGAAATGCGGTATGGTTTGTCATTTTCATAAGAAACATTGCAGTAATATGTTCAAAGTTATTATTATCATCATCATTAATATAATAATATTTTGAAGTTGTGGAATAGATGAGGTCGAATGATATTATTAGTGATAGTTATTTTTTTATGGTGTTGAAAAGAATAAAAAGAATGAATGGCAAGATATAGCATGACCCTGTATCAATATAATTTTTTTGTCCATTTTTCAGAGCCCATATTTAAAAATTGACTTATAATTTTTTGAAAGAAAAAGGAACAAGAATTTTAAGACATGCTGAAGGGGTACTCTCTAATTCATTGGAAACAATAAATTTAGTTTCCAGAAGACACAAAATGTGTAGCAGTCACTAGTAAATATAAGCATATAATGCCTTGGAGCGAAGGAGCAAACCATGACGAGGAGAGAGAATTGACTTGACTGTAATTCATGTAATTGATGAAAGCATGCAAGTCTTAGATGTCATGGAAATTCACAGAGATGGAGAAAATGGTTAAGAAGTATGAGAAGCATTATTAAGGCTGCTGTCATAAACTGTGGTTGATTTTAAGCAATTTAAAGACTTCAAGAAGTACAGCATTCTCAAACTCAGGATACTTGCATGAGAGGTGAAGTTAATAATCGAGAATATCTGCAAATAGGTAATAAAGGCAAAAAAGATTATATATTTGTTTATTAATTGTGATGATACGTTAATTTATTTTCAGTTTGCTTTATTATTATTATTACAAAACTCGCTATGGAATACTTTGTGATTTCATTGTTGTATTATTATAATTATTATTTAATATTATTGCACAAAGATTTCTTGGTTAAAATTATGAAGACAGTGGAAATGAAGAAAAGACAATTTGGAATTGTTAATCAAGTTTATGTGATGCGAAGAAAGATATGATAAAAGTGGATAATTAATAAAAATATCTAATAAAAATAGAAGCGTAGCTGAGATATTAGTTAAAATATTAGAATTCATTTTGAAGTTATTAATGTTTTAAAGAATTATTGAATTTCAATAACATGTTGGTACTAATGGCAAAATAATTATGTAGTGTCAAGATTATAAAAATACTTCTGATGAACAACTAGTGTCTAGTTTGTGAGATTCTATTGTAATATTTGTTTATAGAGATGTATAGTTTCAAAAATGCGATTATGAATACAGACAACAAAACTATTGTCAGGATCTTCACAAAACCATCAAGAAGTATTGTTTTGTGGCATGTTCTGCATCAGAGAATATTGTTTCAGAACGTGAAACAGTGTAAAGGGCAAGATGTGTTCCTTTTTATATGTATTGTTCATCAAGAAGTAACAAACAGTTCCTGAAAATCATGTGAATGGAAGTTGAAGAGTGATATTTGACTTGAAGAACTTTAGAAAATGAAGCTGTTGTACATCTGCTTTAGTGTGCACATGTGAGAATTGAAAAAAATAATATTCGTGGCTCTTGTTTTCATTAATAGCTTGAAATTTCTTTTGTGTGATGTGCAATCCAAAGATATTAGATGAACATTTCTTAAATTTTGAAGTGAGGAATATTTTATTTGATGGTCACCTGCTAGATCAATATAAATAATTCTGTAATTAAATTTCTTAACAAATCACTATTTATTGACATAGTTTCTTCAAATTTACCAAGAGTACTGTTCAATTTAGTATTTAGCTTATCATCTTAAATGATAATTGCAAAAGTACAATTTATATTTCTCTAAGCCTTTTAGATGATCTTGGAGATGTGGATAAAAGCTTTTTGCAGCTATTATTTGTCACATTCCTTTCCTTTTGTTGTTCCTGCTTGTAAAATGCTGATCTTGTAAAATAAAATTTACCGTATCACATTGTATTTATCATGCTCAGTTGCCATTAATTTTCTCATGACTATTGCATGCATCCTTTACCTCGAGAGAAGTAACCTTAAGATTGAGAAGGAAATACATTGTAGAATTATGGAGGTGATACATCTCAACATTAGACATTGATAGAATGGAAACAGAAAATGAGCTTATGATGAAGATTCTGGTAACTAAAATTCAAATGTTATGCACACTTTAGAATGAGTGCCTAACCTGTTTGAAAAGCATATTCTGCATTATTGTGTGTATATATATATATATATATAAACATAGAGAGTGAGAAAATCATTTTTGTAACATGTACATAATTGTGCTTTTAATGTAAATTCATACAAACAATTGTTCATATGTCTTTCATTGCGAGTAAAGAGATAAATATGTGGAAAATAGGGAATTCTCTTAAACAATACATTCAAAACTGCTTTTAAACATTTAAAAGAAATAGAGGTGTCTGAAAAAGCACAAAATTTATTCTTAAATATAATAACATGTAAGAAATTCAAAAGTCCATGTTTTGATTCTTCAGTGATTTAAATTTAATTTGGGTTTTGAAGTTAAATGTGGGATTTGCAGTGGAATAGTTGTGTTAAATGTGGAACAAGCAGAAGAATAGTTGTGTTGATCTCCTTGCCAAAAACATTTAATTGGAGACTGCATCACTTTTGTGATGTGATCTTTTTATTTGCTCTTTATTTTAGTGCTTCAAGTTGACTTCAAGGAAAAAATATCAGTTGCATTGTTATGTTAGAAAGCGCTTTCTCTTGACACTGTCTTAGGTTCTGGTGTAGTTTCTTTGTTAGAAAAACAACATACTATTTTGGTGTTGGTTATTTTCTCATACTCATGACCCAGTGTTACTTGTGATTTGACAGCTTCATATTTTATTATATTATCAGTTTCTTAAAAAGTATTGTGGTGTGGTGTGTTGTGCCAACTGAATACCAGAGAAATATGTACTGCTTTTTTAATTTTTTGGTGTGATAGAACTGTCAAGTCAGAAGTTTGGTCAATTAGTGAATAGACACTGACTTGTTCCTGGGAGGTCTTGTCCATTTGGCACGGAAATATTTTTCCACAGACGGTGGGTCGCCATGTGTTGGCTGCGTGTGAGGATGGGAGTGTCTACTGCTACTCCCTTAAGAGCGGCAAGCTGAAACGTCAGTACAGTGGACATAACGCTGCTGTGATCTGCCTTACCATCCTTGAACGAGAAGGTCCAGATGGAGAGGACCCAGTACCAGAGTTTCTCTACACTGGTTCCTTGGATCGCCAGCTTCGCTGCTTCCAGTTCAAGGTAGAATTCTCGTTCTACCTGGAAAAAGAAAGTGGAGAGAGGACATTTCTGTGTATAACATGCTAGTAATGGTAAAAATGAAGAAGAGAACTAAAAAGAACAGTTGTTTGGTCGGTATTAATCTCCAATCCAGAAAAAAAGATGACTCCATATTGGTATCGTGTCGAATGTTAAAATATCGGTTTCCAATTTCAAAGATTTATTTACTGGATCTAGGGGTATGGGTGGATAATGAGACAGATTTTATGCTCCATTGCCACTGGAATAAATGGGCAATTGCAGTTGTGTAATCTTTGTAATACTCATGATAGGGGTGCGGTATTTAGATTTGCATAATTATCGATTTACCTGAAGTGAAGTCTCCCGGTTAACTGTTTCGTAGAACCAGTAGGTCCGAAAGCCAAGTTGAAGTTCACTTGACATAGCTTGAATTGGAAGAATTCAGGATTTCAAAGAATCGGTTTTAATTGCTATTTTATAATCTAACATTTCATTTTGTAATCTATTGCCATGCGGAACCATTTACGATCTTATAATTACTTTTTCAATTATACAAGTGAAAACGGGAGAACTCGCAGATATGAAATGTGCTTATATATTTTATATTATGCCCTTTAAAAGATTACAAGTTGAAGTACGTTTTTATTATGAATAAATGGTCTAATGAACAATTTCTTTCAATATACTAGAAGGCGATGTCAGAAACGATTTTTTTTTTCACATCTAAATCCATTGACTACAGCAATGAAAATTAGCGGACATGTTTGAGGACCCGTGATGCTTATTGACTGTTGCGCATTATTGCAAAATGCATTATTCAGGAGGATATGCTACTATAGATGCCATTAACAACATTTTATTGAAATTTTAGGCTTTAATTTCGCGTGATCTCTTCAAACGACTTCGAAATAAGTGTGAGGTTAGGATTCAACGACGGTGAAATTTCCTAAACCTGGTAGAGAGGTGAAACGACAAACTTGCAGTATGGAATGCTGCGCTTAATACAGTTCATGATAAAACTAGTCACAACCAGTATCTGCAAACGCCACCCAATTATGTAGCTTACTATCAGAAATATTTCTTTCGAAAGAACTTTTAATTAATTAATTGATTGCTGAAAGGACGTCGTTTATTCTGAGAAAGTGCACAGTTGTGAATTATCGTTCAGTGATATTCTGGACATTAAAGCTAGAATTTACTGAACCATTTGGGATATGGGGTATATTTGTCTTACTTTTTTTCCTTCGTCGATTCGGAAATTATTGAATGAAACAATACCCTCAAGTCAGTTCAGGGCATTAATGTATAAATATCTGTTCGAACCTATAACCTTAGTATATTATTATCAATAATTTATTCAAAAAAGCGTTTCATGATGTAGTAAGTTCATGAGAGAAACTGGGTTATGTGTAGAAGTTTTTCAATGCATTTTTACAAGAAAAAGAGGCAAAAAATGAAATATTAATATTCATCTATTTATTATATAAAATAATATGGTGTTTCGTTGCTCTGCACCCCAACTATTAGTTTGGTTAGCAGTGCTTAGGTATCGTCCATAATTACGTAACGCCGAAGGGGGGCGGAACTTTTTTTGAGGCAGCGTTACACTGACTACGTGGGGGTAGATGGTATTAGTTTATTGTTACGTAACATTGATATTAACAGGTTTTACATATTTCAACATTTGCTGAAATATTGTTTTGAGTCTTATACTTAAACATTGAAATATTACCTAATTTATTTTAAAAGTATAAATAAATTAAAGTTATTAGATATAAATTGTTACAATAAATGGATTTTTTTTCATCGATTGTGTATTGAATCTGGAAGATAACCAAGAAAATATTCAAAACGGATCGTGTAGTTTATGTAAAAATCCATTTAAATTGACGTATATCTCTCATCTATGCGTCATCCACAACGGCTTATCAGAAATTTACTAAATGCGTGCACCTTAACCCACAACTGGCCCCCAACCTCATTGTTAATGCAGTCAGCATCGCCAACCAATTCCGACCTTTACCAGGTTTTCATGTACAACAAACATATAATGAACGCAAATTATATTTTTACCGGACTATAATTTGTTTTCGCTTCGGGGAGAGAGGTGTTGCAAGTGTTACGTAATTATTTAAGGGGGCCCGGCCAAGAGCCCGTTACGGGTGTGTTACAGGGGAGAAAGGGGTATTCAAAATACTCCTAATTTGCGTGTACGTAATTTATAGAAGGCTCCTTATATAAAAAGTTCAGCTCTATATTTGATTTCACTTGAAAATGTTAATACTTATCCTATATGTCATAGCGGAAAATGTTTCCTGGTTACTTGAAACTGGAATTAATGTTTGAACAAATAAAAGTACTTTGCAGTCATCACATTGTTCTCCAAACCAACCAACCAATATTAATTCATGATTAACTTCACATAAATAATAGGATTTCCTGGCAATTTTTAAGGGCATGGAATTTCTTATGTCAAAATTCGTTAATATTAAAATATTTTAAATCTTTTTTTGCGTTAATTCAAATGATGAATAATTGATTACACTACATAAAAAACTTCTTGTATGTGCAGTGTTTTAAGAGGTTTTCTCTGAATTGCACTAACAAATAACTGATATGTGATTGAGAACTAGTATTATGCATTTTATACATTCCAATCACATAATTAGCAACTAAATTGAAAACTATATTTCAGAACGTTCATATTATCTGATGCTTCTCTTCCTCATTTTTCCAATTAGAGAACAAGGTTAAAGTCTAGAACAGAAATATTAATATCTAATTTTGGTAGATTTTCTACTTCATTGTCAAGTATTACTTTGCACATTTACAGACTGGTGCATTGGTTAACCAACCAGTGAATCTTGGTAAACCAATTCAGTGTATGGATGAAAACTGGGGCACCATTTTTATGGGAACAAAGGTGGGAGAAATAGCGAAATTTTACACAAAGGTAAGTGAAGTTCCTTCTTTATGAAACATTTGTAGTAATTGTCGGTCTTAACCAAACACTTATTTAAAATAGATGTATTATGTACTTGAAGTAAAGACTTACACCTCAAGATGAAATGTAATTTTTACCTGCAAACTCACAGAAATAATAATCCGTTAAGAAGTATACATTAATAAATGTGAAATAACTTTTTTAATTCCAAATCTTAAAATAAATTTCTTAAGAACTAAGAAATATTTAAAATTCAGAAAGGTTGATATTCACATTTACTATAAAACCTTAAAATTAATGAACAGTGAGAAAAGGGTTTATTTTGATTATTTAGTTATGCATGTTAACCTTGCTTATCAATATTTCAGTCTTTCAAACTGAATGAAGACTACCTCAGATGCAGCAAAGAATCCATCTTGGCTGTTAAAGCTACTAAAGAAGGAGCGAGAAAAATTATCATAGTGGCCGCAAGAAATGAACCAGTGACGATCAGGGATGCAAATTCAGGTAATGTTTGGAAATAATTTTTGTATAGCACATGGTCTTAAAAAAAACCTGCATTTATTTGATTTAGGAACATTAACATCAACTATATAGAAAAATTAATCTGTTGTTTGCATTCAGTTTCATTTTTTTACTTGCATGGTGTTCGGTAGTTTTGATGTTATATCACTTTTTATATAAAAAATAAATTATAATTAGGCCAGGTTATTATTTTAATATTACCCTGTATTTATGAGGACTAACAGTGTCAGTAGCATAATGAAATGAGTGCAGGCCCGCCCGCAAAACATTTATCCGGAACTCCTTTATAAAAGTGCGTAGAAAACACAAGTAGTGTGTGTACCGTAAATAACAAAAATAAAAATTGGCCCTCTATAACCTCAGCCTGTCTGCATTGCTGCCCCAAACTTTACACCACTGCATAGTGTACAATGGTTAGTATAAAACATGATTTTCTTTAGAAGTTATTTATTGCATAACCTGGAGAAGTATCGGAAGATTTAGATTGTCTAATAGTTTTTATTACTTCTAAGCTTTTATTCCTTGTAGTATATATATTCTGTAATAGTAGGTTTAGTTTTATGAAATTTAACATTTTATTTTTTTTTATTTTCTCTTTTTTAACTCTTGGAGTTTGCAAAATTTGGTGAAATGCAATACTATAATTATTTCTCGAGTTCTAAGGAAGGACAATAGTGAAAAACATTTTTGTGAGTTGTTTCGTTTTGGTGTTTTTTTAAATGAATACAAATATTGTTTAGTCTACATTAAATTTATGTAATAAAAGTATTCTGAATGTTACTTTTGTACATGTACAGGTCTGTTGATGAGGGTGATAGGACACAACTTGCCGCACACAGTATACAGTCTGCTGCTGGAATCATCACTCTTGTATTGTGGTACAAAGACTGGCAAGATTCCTGTGTTTTCCTTTACTGTGAGTCCTATATGATAATATTAAATGTACCTCATTTTAAAAATAAATTTGTTTCACAGTGACTTTCAAAATTCAAAAAATTGCTTGTACTAATAAAAATTATTTTCCTGTGGTATTTTTATCTGTAGGCTATTCTTGATGAACAGATATTATTTTTAATTTTTATTTATATCCTCGAAAAAAAGAGAAGTTTATGAAAATATATGTTACTATTGTAACTCTTTGGTGTTTGTTGTATTGCTTAAATATAATATATTCATATTGCTTGTTCATTGACCACAGACTGGAGAAGAGGTTGGAAAATACAATGCTGGCTTTGGAGTAGTTTGCATGAGAGTCTACAATCACCTTCTTTTTGCTGGCTGCTATGATGGTAACATCTACATATACAGTACTCAGGTGAGTTTTGTTAAAGTTTTATTTTATTTTTTACTACCTTTTTAGCAATAAAAGAAAATAATTATAAAATCAGTTCTCAACAAGTAATATATGTAGGGTGTAATTATTTTATTGATGCAGTTTTCATGACAAAAGTTATTGATTGTCTCAATAAGAACAAGTAATGAGACATAGAAAGTTGGAAAAAAACAATTTCTAGTTATGGTTTGAAATCATAGTCATGCAATTACTTTTTGTGAAGAACAATCTGTTATTGTTATTTATAAATATTTGATGTGAAGATGAGTGAATACTAAAACCTTAATTTTATATTATTTTAGAATTTCACACTATTGTATTTGGATTTCAGGATCAATCATTCATAAGTTGCATCCCTGGACCTGGTAAAATGCTCCTTTGCCTAGATGTTGTTAAAAATAGGGTAAGTTTTCAATTTGTCATTATTGTTTGTTCAACAAACTATACAATTAGTGAACTCAATTTTAATAAATAATAAATACCATGTTTATAAAATTAATTTATTACTTCAGCGGATCAGTGTTTTTATTGGTTTGTTAATATACTATAGATATCAATTACAAATTAGACAGGTTTTCAAATTGTTGTTTCTAGGGAGCGGATTTTCATACTCTAAAAAATATTGAAATATGCTTTTAAAAATATGCATTTATGACCTTAAAATTCTGAAATATATTCTTTAATATGCAATTAAAATGACAATATTTCATATCCTCTATAAGACTTTCTTGATAAAATGCAGTAAAAGCATGCTTGGAATGAAAAGATATATTTTTGTGTAACCATATTATAATGTACCTTACTTCGTGAGAAAAATAATTGAAATATTCTTAGTGAAGTACATTGTATGTCTTGTTGTATTTCTTGTAACAGGTTTAAAAAATAAGTTATCGAGAAATATCTTACATTTGAATGAGTATTTTATCAACTATAGAGAGAAAAACAACAAAAAACAAAATGCAAATTGTTCCAAGCTCTTTTGAATCAGTGAACACTCATAAATGAATAAATTCGATGAAAAGTTTCAAAGATCAGTCTCTATTTTAACGAAATATGCCAAATTTGTGCCTATAATTACAAGAATTAGCACTAATAGGAAAAATCGGCCTAATGTGCAGAAATATGTACTAATTTATTAATCTGTATAGCATCATATTCTAAGCAAATATCAAGAAATTGTACTTAGCTCTGCAATGTAGCAAGAGAGAAAAATCTGCAAAATCATAGAAATCAGCTCCCTTGTTATTTCTATTTGTAATTAGTGTTTCATTCAATGCAAATTTGAAATGTTATGACATACTATAGTTTTTGTTTAATTACTATAATTAGTAACAAATTTTGTAAATGAAGTCTTGAAGTTTCTGCTCTTGCCAAATAAAAACTAAATTCCACAAAATATGAATAATTATGATAATTATTCTGTTTTGCTGTTCAGTAAGATTAATTAAAAATTTGAGTTGCTAAGGGACTACAAAATAGATATTAAAGAAATGTGGCTTTGGAGACAATATCTTATCAGTATTCTAAACTGATTTTTGGCCTGTGTGCATTAACTTCTGAAATAGCAAAACCACTTTATTTGAAACCAAGGCATCAAACCATTTCAGCTAAATTTCTAGTTCAGGTTAACAAAAAAATTTGTATTAATCTTTTGTAACAATGATTTTGGTTTTGAAATGCATTTGCCTTTCTTTTGATTGAAATCTATTGTAATTTGAACATGATTAAAAAATTGTAACCAATCTAAATCACTTATATAAGTAGTTAACGAGAAACTAATTTTAGAAGCACCATAGGAATCATTCATTAGAATTTTGGAAAATAATTATAGATAATATTATTGAACACATTCAGAAACACATTAAACTTGGTGTGTCTTTTTTGTATTGTTTGAATTTAGTATTACTGTACTGTGGGAGTAAGATTTGTCCAGTTTCTGCAGAAATCCTTAGGCATAACTTACAAAGAAACATTTACTGAGAGTTTACAAAGAAATATTTCTTTTTTCTTACAAGACATGTAATAAAACTATCAACAATATCTTATCTGTTGGAGTTGCTTATAAAACTCCTGAAAACTTGGACACCTTGGGGTACTTTTTAAAACCTAAAATTGGCATAACAGATATCATGAAAATATGAAGATGATTGTTAATTTAAAATGGTTTCATGTAGTTATAAGATAAGATGTATTTAACTGCAATTGAGTCAAGTTGGTGGTACAGTAGTTTCCAAAATATCTGTAAAAGAAGTATGATGATAATCAACTTCATATTACACAGACCAGCACTATGTGATGATGCAGGACACAGCATTCCATTGCACTACACTGTACTGTACTCCCCTAGTGTTTCAACACCCTTTTGGTGTCACTTTCATCTCCATGAACTGCACAACCCTTTTACATAGCTTAAGTTTTAACTTTCGATGAGTAAGATTCTTTAGTCAATCTGTGCATGCTGAACTAATTCTACTAGATTTCGGAGACTGGAAATTGCAAGGAATACTGCTGTTGAAAATTGGTGCCTGTCCCAACTCTTAGAGTTCTGAAGAGTTTGGAGGCTCTAGAAATATATTTCACAAAATACTGTTTCAGTTTTGGTCTCCTGTTGAAACAATTTTAACAGTTTGTTTGATGTCTTGATTCAAACATATTTATAGATAGATTTATTTACTTCACCTTTCTTCGTAATTGATGTAAAATCTGATATAAAAATATATAAGGAAAATTTCACTTTTATGATATATTGTAAAATAATATATTCTAAAATATCAAATAATTTTCTGTTTTCTTTTTGTAGATAATTGCAGGCAGTAAAGACAGCAAGTTACAGGCGTGGCCACTACCAGCTGATGTGAAGAGCTGCATAAGGGAGTCAAGACATCGCTAATGCATCACTTTATTTATGGGATCCAATAAGTGGGTTAGAATTTGAGTGACTAAATTTTGTGTAATATATGTAAGTACATTCTACTATCCTGAATTCAAGAACTTTGAAGTTAATATATACACACACACGCAAAAAGTACTTATTTTTTATATCTACTAGATGTGCTTTTTGAGACAGTGGCATCCATCTTGCAGTAATGGTTGGAAGTTGAAAACTCCCTTGTTTTGATTATCAGTATTGAGAGAGAAGTACATAAAAAAGTATATAAATATATATTAGTTGATACAAACTGTATTAAGGTACAAAACTAAATTCAGTCTATGAGCAACCATGTCAACCAATGTGATATTTCTTTGTATACATTCATGTATGCTTCTAAACATAGATCATGGACCAAGTAGTCTCCTGGCAATTTGATTTGTATATTTCTGTTAAAGTTTTCATGTAATGGAAATAGTCACATTGCAGTCTTATATAGTAAGTAAGATTCCATCACCAGAACAGTACTGAAGGAAGATAATAGAGGACTTGTGCATTCTACGTAATATTGCAACTGTTCCATACCATTGTCTATAGAAATTAAAATCAATTTCTGACCATTTATTGTTTTATGTGAACTTTGTTTTATACCCATGATTTGGATGTTCCTTCGAATGTATTACAGGTCTAATAGCATTTGCTGTGTGGGAACAGATCTCATTGACACAATCCTACTTGCTATGTGCAATAATATGTGGAGCAGTAGGAGTATTCAAAGATATTTTTTCTTTTACTTTTCCAGATTTGGAAAAATTGACGTTGAGTTGCAATGTATTGTATCTCCTTAAAAATGATTTAGAATTATTGTAACTTATAATTTGCTTCTTTAGTCATATGTATGATATTTTGTTTCTAATGGGAACATGGTTTATATTTTATAGTCAAGACTCATTTAATTTATCTCTCCCAGTTTCCTTGTGTGTTTCTTGTCATTATATAGGAAAAAACTAGTGTTAAGAAACTAGTTTTATCATTGTCTTAATAGCATGTCATACATGTTAAATAATTATTTGCAACAGTGTGAAACACTGAATATCAATGTTGGACTGAGATATTCTTCCAAGAAAGAAACTGTGTTGTGTTGTACTGTGCTGCATTATGGGATATTACTTTTCCAGAGCTGTGATTTTTCTTACCATTTTGTTGTTGTTGCAGCATATCCTCTTAAACCAATGAAAGGTTCTTAGTGCACCTTGTACATTACCATAAATGTTGTAATTATGTTATCATCATGAAAATAAACAGGCTTGGACCTGAAATTTTATTTTCTGTATCATTAAACTCGTTATTTCTTCTCCATAGTGTTTTATTTTCATGTGAGCTCAAAGCTGCAATTGTTAACATAAATGTAATTTCTTATTACTTTAATTATAATTTATTTAAAAAAAGGTTTGGAAACATGCACTTGTTTATTGTTTCTCTTCATCATTAGGATGTCATGACTATTTTCAATTGCTGCTAATTGAGCTTATGTGTGTGGGCTTATCCACTATTTTGAAATAATTTTAAAACTACCATGCTTTTGATAAGTGAAAATTTATACATGCATTCTTAAAACGGTTTTCACCATAATAGCAAAAAATACTAGGCCTAGAAAGAAACTGTTAAAGATTAATCAAATTGCTCCTGCCACTTATCAAGAATATAAAAAAGGTGTCCTGTTGTTCTAGTTTCTTTCTATCAATCTAGTAATAAAAAAATTGTGTTGACTGTAACATTTGAGGTTTCCGCAATGCATTTAGGTAAATTGACAATTTTAAAATTGAAGTTTATCATGGTATTCTGTTATTTTTTTCTTTCTTATTTGATTAGGGTCAGACAGTTGCGTTATAGCTTTTAAAGAATGTTACAAATTGTTTAGTACAGTTAATGTTTTATTCTGAAGTCACTTTCTCTCTGGAGTTTCTTTCAGTAACTGTACATTATAAAAACAAAAAGTCTCATTCTTGTTTCAGAGAGTGGAGATTGACTGTGTATTTTATATGTGATTGAGAAAAGTATGACTGTGAGTAGGTTTATGAAATGTATATCATATTGTAATATAGTCCGTTGCTTGTTTGGGATTTATGAGAAAAAGACTTATAAATGTACATGTATAAATATGTCTGCAAATTGAAGAGTCCTGTATTAGTTAATTACTAAATTATATAATGTAATTATTAATTTGTTCCTTACCATAATGCATTTAGTGTTATTTTATGCTTCCTAAATTGAAAATACACTTTCTAATCTTGTTAAGATAAAATTTCTGTGTATGTATAGCAATATGAACCTGTTATAGTATGTTTATGATAGTATTGGATTCAAACCATGAAAACATGATGAATGTAAAAACACATTCCTATCATTTCATAATTTTATTGTTCGTTCATTTCTGTCACTGCCAAATGATGTGATGTGTACTAGTAAAATAAAAAAAAATTAAGAGATTTTATGTTGTGAGAATGTGATATTATTATGAGAACTTCAACTGCATTTTAGCTAGCTTATTTGTGACTTAAAATCCTCTTTGTTTTTAGTAAACTGAAAAGTTTTTCTAATGTTTCCTAAAGTACGAATCTTAATGTGAGAAATAACTATTATCAATTAAATTTGCTTTGTTGATTAATTGAGGGTAAAATAATGAAGTTTGTTATAGCTTGACGTGTTCAGAAGACTGATATTCAAAATTATCCTAATCAGAATCAAACATGAGTGAAAGTAATGATAAATATTACTGATAAGTACAATATTGAACAAGTTCAGTTTCTCACAACATGATATTATCTATGCAACATTTACTACTACCATCTGCACAGGTCTAAATATTCGTATATTAAAAAAGTTTAGGATTACATGGTCCTACTTATGCTTGCTTTGGTGAACTTCAATTTTTTCTTCAAACTTTAGGTAAACATTCTTCCTTTATTAATGACTGTTGATTCCCATAACCTGTTATCTGATGATCTAGAAAATACTTGTGAACTTAGACCTCATTTCTATTACAGAACAAAGTATAACTAATTAATCATGAAAATTTATTCAAAGATTTCAATGTAAGGAAAGATATATTCTAACATTTTATACATTACTTGTAAATTCCAAAAAAATGATTATTTGTGAAATATGAGACTTAATTTCACTTGAAAGTGTGAAATCAACCAAATTTGTAATAATATGAGAATCTTATTTTGGAAATACTGATAGATGAAAAATGCAATGCAAAACACAATGCTGGAGTTTGTTTTTCATTTTTGTATACTTTTGTACCAAATCACATTGCAAGCTCGTAAAATATTTGAAATTGTGATAATATTAAACTTAATAGGAATATGAATGATTCTGTTTCATTTTAAGAAGGTACAATATCTACAAAATTTATATGGAATACCAACAATTTTCTTGGTCTACTTAATGAGAAAAGACTTCTGTAAAATCAAAATTGTCCAAAGGCAGTAAGTTGGCAAAAAGAAACAGTTTTGTGTTAATCATCATTAGTGTTTTATGTTCACATCAGTTTTGAACAATATCCTTTTGGTTGTTAAATTGAAATTATTCTGTATTAAATAGACAGTATCATGAATTGATGTATGTTGCCTCTTTAAAAGACAATTTGGTTTCAGAATCTGATCAGCAGTCATTTTGAAATGTCATTATGATGAGTACTGAGAGCATTATTTCATGAAAGAAAGTGCCGCAGAGCAGAATTATTTTTTTATTGTAATGAGTGCATTCTTCTTTTAAAAACTTCACGTTAGACGGTGTACAAAAAAAAAAAAAACTGATTGGGCTGACCTATTGTGTGCAAAAGAAAAAAAAAAATTCTACATGCAATAGGGGGGGAACTGTCATAGAAAAAATAATAGAAATGAACAGGCAATAAATTAACAATTTTTTACACATTTTTATTTAAAATATTTTTATTTACATAACTGCTTTTTCACAGTTGAGAGCTGCTTTCATTACCTTCACTGTTTGCATCATATTCATTAAGAACTTCAAGGTCTTACAAGAGAGATTACTCTTAACAATGTTCAAATTCCAGCAATGATCATTATGAATCAGTACATTAAATAAAAATAAAATATGTATCTACAATATATCATTTACAGGAAATTGCAGTAAAACAGATCTTGATAATGATAAGTTGGTATGTAATGTTTAGACTTTGATGGGCCCAGCACCATCTTCAGGTTTCAGCTAAATTCCATGTTTGTACATGTTTATATAACATTGAATTATTTGATTTTATGATGGAATACTGAGTTGGAGAATCAGAATGAGTAACTTGCTTCCTGATTTATAGTTGATGCGAGACTACTGAATTGGCTTGATTCTTGTCATTTCCGTCTTTATTCAACAATTTTTTATACTGCCCGTTTAAATAGAAAGAATCAATGAAATTTCATTAACTATTCATATTTTAGTTTCATAAAAGGTGAAGATTTTGTTCAGAACCAAATGATTTTCTACACAAATCTTCAGTTGGGGAGTCATTAAAAAAATATGGACGATGATGGCGAATCGCAAAAGCACAATGATGAACGATCACGCTCAATTGTTTCCCCAGCCCAGCGCAGCGCAGGGCAGCGCAGCGCAGCGCCCTCTATGACGCGTACGTCTCGCGGAGGCGCATTTGCAGGTGCTGGTACGCCGTGTAGATGGGGCTGTGCTTGGGCGAGGGCTTGCCGGCGGGCGCCGACATGAGGCGTGCCAGGCCGCGGCCCGGAGGCGTCGCGACGCCGCTCGCCTGCGCCTGCGTCTGCGCCTCGGCCTCGGCCGGGGCGAGCGCCAGAGGCGCGACGGGCGTGTCGTCGTCGGGGTGCACGAAGAAGGCGACGCTGTGGCGGCCGCGGCAGCGCGCGCCTTCCTGCTCCGGCACGACGACCCGGTGGCGCTGCAACATCGAGGCCACTCAGACTGGTGCCCGCATCGCAGGTATTGTACGTAAGCTATGATGAGAATACCGTTCCTGGATATGGTTCATCTTCAGTGAAACGGGGTTTATTCATTAGTTGCATTTTAATGCATAAAAAGAGAAAGAATCTTCAGAACCGGTGACGTCGCCAGTCTCTGATCCAGATAGTGTTTTACCCTTGCTATCGAGATACCCGTAATTTTCTCTGTTCAAGGACACAATTATAATTGGAATTTCCTCGCTCATGTTCCAAGATACTAATAAGCTCTTAAAACATAGATAATTAACACATAATAAGACACTTTCGTCTTTCCCGTGGTGTTTATCGCCTTTTCACATTATTTCGGGGCTAGTCTAACCTATAGGCAGCCAACCAGAGGGAACAACTAGGAACGACGGAAGTCGAAAAGAATAATGAAATCCAAGGACAGACGACACATTTGTTGAAATAAGGGCGAGAAACCAACAGCACACCTCGAAAGTTGAAATTTCCACGTTGAAACACACACACACACACACACACACACACACACACAACAAATTAATCGAGGCAAAGAGTCTGAGAAGCTAAAATAGAGTTGATATTGAGAAAAAAATTCTGCCAGCACGAGAATTTTCAGGACAAGCGCACATTTAAATGATAGGAAAGTTGGAAACTAGAAGTCTGTAGGCATTGATAAAATACAGAATTATTGAATCAATAAATTGTCATCGATACATTTCCATCTAAGAAAGGCTGTTAGGGGTATGACGAACTATCTGATTTGCCTACTCCAGTCTGTCTATCCTTCCCGTCCATACGTCCGTCTGTCCACCTGCCCATCACTTGTTCATACAAAACAACTGAATAAACTGGAGAAATAATAGCGCATTCTGATAAGGCCATGATAAATGTTATTTATCCAACTAAATAAAGGACGCTTCAAGTAATGAAAAGATCACCTAGAATCAGACGTAATACGCTCGTGAAGAAATTGTGAGAAATAGCTCTTTGCCTGTCCTAGTAAATAAAACAAGACTTTACAAACTTTCGGACAGTTAACTGCTTTATTTTAAACGCGATTAAAGTGAGGCCTTAACCACACTTTTTCCTATGTTAAAAGGTGTCTTTATTCCTCCCGGAATTGAAGTAACTACACCCACCAGTGACTCCCATTATGATTACAATCTGAGGAGGACAGAGTTGGATTACCGTAAGTCTAGGAGAATACATATACGTATGTTAAAAACGGACCTTCAAAAATAAATACTGACCGCGACAAGCTCTTTAACAAATCTGTAAAATTCAAGCTTATAAGTTTTAAAATTATTTTTTTACTAGTAGCCTTTTTAATGTCTCTTTAACAATCCAATAAATTTAGAATATGTAAAAATATCAATTGAAGCGTGAATTACGTATCGTCAACAATTTTACTTTCTTGCACTTACTAACGTAAGAAAAAGTATTACAATCGTACGCCAGAAAAACGGCAAATTTTCGACACCAAAACTCTTATTGCCGGGCCCTGGTAACGAAAATTAGATAAATCCAGTTGCTACATGTTGAAAAAAAAAAAAATTCTCCAACACGTGATGTTGCCAGAATCTATGTTTTGTGGGTCCTTCATATCCAAAAATCGACTCACGGCAAAACGTCTGTCCGTCCGTCCGTCCGTCCGAAATAAATTATAATAAATAATAATAATTTTTTGATGGGGTGGTCGTTTACAAGAAGCGCTTGAGACAAAAAAAAAACTCCAAATTTTTTATTAAATTTTATTGTTGAATAGTGCAAAGGGCGTTTAAGAGAATGGTGCAGGTCTCATTTTCGTTGACGTCCTCGATTTTTCAAAAATTGAAAAAAATAAATAAATTAAAACTTCAAAATTGGTAATTGAAATTTTTGCTTCAGACAAAGTCTGCTGTACAAACATAGCTCTTCAACAAGATCGTGTACAATGTTTTGAAAAAAAGAGTAGTTTTTGCTTTATTTCTGGTTAAAATTAAAGAAATACTTGTAATATAGGTTTCACACCACCTACGGGCCACGAGAAAAATTGAATGATACGAAGTATAATTAATTTAATTTTAATCATAATTTCCTATTGAAAATGCCAATAGTAATGCTAGTTTTGCTTTCTCGCACTTTACTTATATTTCACTTATTTGTACAATTTGTATTCTCAATGTATTGATGTACGAGTACATAAGTTTACGGTCTGCACACTGTGTAATGGCTCTCATCGTTCCTTCATACCGGAAGCACATAATTCTTAATTTGCTGTGTTATTTAGACCATCATTCATAGAATTATAGTATTCTCCAGTTTAAGATATCATAAAACTGTGGAGTGCAAGCAACACCACCAAGAAACTATATCTAGGTGGTGTTCCACCTAGAAACTGTATATCTAGGTGGTGTTGGGGCAAAGCAATGACAGGAGAGGATATTTTTTTCAAAAAAAGATTCTCAAATACGATCATGTTCAATTTTTTTAAATTTGAGTATTTTTGGGCTACTTTGGTGACAAAAATAATAGCGCGTCCGAACTTAACTGCGCTTCGTGGTCGTAATTCCCGACATTTGGATGCATCATGTGCCAGAATGTGTATATTTCATACATCTTTGTTCGTTTCTTACATTCGACTTTCATTATACATTTACACATTAATCTTTTAGAAATTATTTAAAACCTATTTGAAATACTGCTAGCTTTGAGGGAAAATCAGATTGGAATGCTACAATTACTCGACAACAATGATTCGGAAGCTCATTTTTGCGATTTACGTCTTATTGTTGGGACATTGATTTACCTGCATGAAAATCAGTTATAATTGTCAAATGTGTGTTATTTGCTTGAAAATATTTGTTGTAATGAGTAGGGTTGGACAATATGTAAATACTTGTATATGATATACCGTATTTTAAATAATTCATCTCCGCCACTTGAATGACAGTTTTCCTTTGCAGGTTTTATACATTCACACACTAGCGGTTTATTGTCCGATAATTTGTTTGCAAAATCAGTTCCACTAACAAAATTCCATTTCTTTGGGTTAGATATATTTTTGATATCATTTTTTTGAAAATGTTTTTACATATGGTTAAAACACATTACAATATTTATTGTTTAGAAATTTGTAAGACTGTCAATTACTAATTTACTGTAATTGACAGAATATTGTTGTAATAAAAATATATAATACAAAATTATTGTATATTTACAGTATTTTGAGTACACTGTACTTCCTGGAATTAATTCTTAAATGTTGAAAAGTTGAAAACGTAAAAACTCAGCCAAATAACAAGTCATTATCCCGAAGGCCGACGTTCGAGCGCTTTTTTAGAGGATCGGGACGGAAACTCGCAAGTCGGCAACACCGGGCGCGTCGCGCGCTTCATTCAAATCGAGCGACAAGTTTCTTCACAAGTGTTCTTACGCTTCCCTCGGTGTACTGAGAGCAATGGAAACTCTCACTCCAAGAAAATCTTACCTGATATTATAATAGCTAGATATTAACTAGATTTTCAGCAAACCTGAATTTGATGGATATAATACAAATATAAATTATGCTGGATAGAAATTAGCGTCCAAAAGTTTTGAATTTTTGCGACATTAGAAACATTAGAAGATTCAATGAAAATGAGACCCGCACCATTTGCATAAATTTCGCAGTTTTAGAGAAAATTTTGAAAATGTCCGTGGGGCTTTATGTAAAGTACCCAAAAATATTAATGAATGTTTTTCAAAATCGCAGAGCTTCAACCCAGGCCACATTGTCATGGTTTCATTCAATATGGAAATAATAGTACGCCTAGTTTAAGCGTTAGTGTTGTTCACATACACGGACGGACGGACGGACGGTTTTTCGGTATCAAGGTCGTACAAAACATGGATTCTGGCTACACAACGTGTTAGAGGATTTTTTCTTAATTTAGCGACTGGATTTATCCACTTTTTGTTCCTAGGGCCTGGTAGCAATGGATTAATTTTTTTCTGGCGAAAATCTGCCGTTTTTTGCGCAGCATTACCCAACTTTCCCTATACTACGTATATTACTCCTTGTATATGTATGTATACGGGAAAGTAAAAAGTATTACATAACTATTACTAAAGGCGAGAAAGTTATGATGTTTTAGTACCTCTAGTTTCCTAGAGAAATGCGTACCTACGTAGGGATGTCAACATTTTTCTTGTCACGTAATGTTGCCCTCACCACTGAATAATACCTCAAAAACGACGAAAACTTGTATGATTTTGATTAACTGTTAAAATATGTACAAATTCTTCTCTAACTTTTCTTACTTTCGATTGTTTCTCTAAGTGTAGGAACATTCATTCGTACTCTTTTTAGTAGTTGTGCTTCGATTTTTCAGAGAATAATTTTGAAACATCCCTTTCTGCTTCTTTCAAGTTGTCACATTGTATGTATCGTTTCATGTATCGTTTGTCTGATTCAAAAATGCCCTTCTTCTTTCATGCAGAATGCAAACCAGCTGAATTCACAGCGAACTAAAGGTGACCCCCAGAAGGACGCCCGCCGTCTACTGTACAGACTGCCTTCGTCCTTCGTGGCATAGGCGTGAACGCGAAGAAATATTGTTTAAAAGTAAAGTTTTGTATATGACACAGCGTTCATCAGAGATTTATTCACTCGGGAGAATTGTCCCTCGCGCTGCCGCACTCGGGACACAACTATTCTCCCTTGTGAATAAAGCTCTATTTAAACCCCTTGTTATATAAATAACTATTATTAAACATTTCCAATTTACATACACTTGTAAATGAATATTTCACATAAAAAATAACTGGACTGTTTAAAAGCACAATAAGCTATACACTTACTACATTTTCTATCTATTGCTTTTCACTTTAATAATTAAAATTAAAAAAAAATATTCCGTTGGAGAAGTGTGCAGAAGCGTACTTCAAGTAACAAATATAAAAATACAAAACACTGATAGTATATTATACAACTAGTTTATAATGTTAAGATTTA